GTTACCCGAAATACATAGCGCTACGCGGAACCATGTACCGTATCCCCGCGGATATATGTATGTACATATACATTTGCGACACACCGGCAGGTAACATTTGATCGATACTGTATCACCGGTCCGCACATTGGATGTTCCCCCGTGAAAGCACGTACATGCACACTTACGTACGTAGCCGAAACTGTCCTGCGTCATAATGTGTGCACGTGTGTGTGCATGTACGTGCGCTTTCAGGTGATACGTCGCTCACAGCTAGAAACTCGTCTCTCCCATATAACGTCTATAGTGTCAATCTATCAGGAGAAGAATTCGTTAACTATACGGAATCGCCAACGACACATTTTTGTGTCATTTTTAAAATGAAAGTCGCATAAAAAAACCTGCATTCTCGACACATTATTATTTTCGCTTGACCTGAAAAAATAAAATCTCCTGATCAAGTTGCCAAATTTTTAATAAAAAAGTGAAAACAGTTTTTTAATAAAAAAAAAAAAGAAAAATATAGCGGTTTCAATTAATTCCAGAATAAAAATTATAAAAAATTTGTATTAAGTGACATGAAATATTTTCAAGAAATAGTCTAATTTTTCCAAATTAGACTTTGGAACAAACTTCATCCTCACTGTATTGATCAATGCTTTTTAGTAGTTAATTTATTTTACATTTTCGCACGTTTTTCAATCTGCGTGTTACTCAATCTTCACACAAACGATACAAAAGATTGTTGTCTATATTTTATATATATCACACATTTTGGTTAATCCTAATATCGATAATGGATTAGGAAGGATTGTACAGTTAAAAGGAGATATTTGATGAAGAATTTTACGACGACAGTGTGTGAGAGAGCGGCTATAGGGAAAATGTGCGAACAAAGTGCGTCAAAAATTGCGAATGGACCAGGCTCGCAATAGTTAGCTCGTAACAATACGCCCATATCGCGCACAATCCGTGTACTAGTACTGCAGTCAATTTCATCGAGATTATATCGATCTTGCTCTCGCGCGTCCCAGCGAGAAAGATGCCCTCACATCCTTACGGCCGGAATAAACATCCCCCGACCGTCGCGGGAGAATGCGCTCCCTTCCACCCGAAACTTTCTATACGCGAACTCACGTTCGTGGCTGGCGTATATATAGGCAGCAGCAGCTCTGACAATCGCACCTAATCTCATCTCACCGCGATGAGAATCGAATGTTTGTCCGCCGACGTGATCTCTGGCGTTTTCGCCGTGACACGTTTGAAGGGATCCTGACGCAGTGTGGATCGCGGAAAATGGTCGAATTAACATCAATTGCTAAATTTCTAATTAAAAGAAAAAAGATGCCAAAAATAATACTGTAACTTGAAACGATTAGAAATCTGCGGCAGATAATCAAGAAATGTTTTCATTGTCTTAGCAAAAATTTAGTAGAGGCTTCAAAGAATTTTTGGGCATTTTATTCTCGCGCGAGTCGATAGCTTTTAACTTCGGCACTACATTAAGTAACAAGTTTGTCGATAATTCCCGTGAGATACTCGAGAAGTTGAGTCAAGCTCGGACGGAGATACGTACAGCAAAGTAGACGATCGTGAACACGACACTTGATACTCTCGGCACATTTGCTGTGCACTGATACACGGTTACGAACTTATTAATGTTCGTAAATTCCTCGTGTAGTCGGCACGCGGATCGACGATTCAGCCAATTAATTTCATTTTCATGCGTGGTGAATGATGCACTGACGCAGCGAATGACAAGCGGAATCTGTCTTATTAAGCAATTATGTGGAACAAGCAAAAAGCACATATGATGTTTGCAACAAAAATTGATGAAATTCGGAGAAATAAATTCAAACTAATGAAATAATTTGATCCGAGGCATCACCTTCAGTTCCATGTTACATCTGACTAATTCAACGAGAAGTATCTATTTTTCTGCAGCATTTAAAATTGATTTCGCTAATTCCGCCATCAGGTCCGACCTGAATAAAACTTTTATCGCCCAATTCGTTTCTAATTGATTGCGATTAATCCGCTCCGTAATTCGTTGAAAAATTAACACGGCCGCGCGAAGGTGAGACGCGTCGGCGGACGAATTTATACGCGCAGAAAATAATAAGAATGCTCTAGTGATAGCGACACGCGCAATCGCGCTTATATTAGTTTGTACATACTTGCGGCGGATCGATCGATCCCGCAATCCGCGATCACCGAGTTCTTTCCCTCGCGTGCGTTTTATTCTTACCTTCATTCACCTCGCCCGTTTACTTGCGGACACCTCTATCCGTTCGAACAGAACGCACACGTACACATTATACACACATGTTATACCTTATATGTGTATATACGATTTTTCGATGTGTACATCGTCGTTTCCCGCGCCATTGTGTCGCAGCCGATCCAGCAAATTTCCGTGCTTCTCTGCGAGTTTAACGCGCCATTATTAAAAGGTCGATCGAACGTGATCGCGAACATCCTCTCTCTCATGTTGTCAAATCGACAGCCGTCGTCCTTCGACGGGAGATTTCGTACTTGCAAATAGTGTGTAACCGCTTCGAAGTATCCTTGGAGGGATTGCCTTTGCGATCGACCTACTCTCGAGTTTTAACCCGACGAATTTCCGAGAACAATCAACAGCAGCAAAATCGGTTAATCAAGGTCAAGATAAAACGTGCACCGCACCAGAATAATGCGAAATAGAGTATGGTTAAACGAGCCATGTGTATATATATATATGTATACATATACAAGACATATATGATCATATATACGAGACACGCGTACAATACTATTTGTATACTACATGTACATACATTTGATATCGAGCGCACGCTGCAGAGAGTGTTGCCCGAATTACGCGCGCGCGGAACGCGCAGTGCGATTTTCACAGTGCCACAGAGGAAATGACTTTTTTCCCTTTGATAAAGTTACGTTATCGGGGGCAATAGTTTTTAAATGAGAGTAGTTTAAAGCTGACGTACGAGAGACGGCGCGTGTGGATCTACTTTACTGTTTCGCTAAAGATTTTATAACTATAGGGATAGCTAATTATGCAGCCAAATATCGCTCTTTTGAATGGCTTATCTAATAAGAGAAAATTATGGAATTGATATCTTTGAAGTAACGGCTCTGAAATTAAATTAAATGATACACGTGAATTATTATTAGTGACCCAATTTGCACAAAAAATCTTATTCTCAGAATAATTATGTATACGCAATGGAAGACCTTTATTTCGATTATAATTATTCTTTAAATTATCTTAAAACATTCAATCGACCTCGAACCTTTTTCAGGGCTCAACAATCAAAGATTCAAAGATATTTTTAAAAAATAATCTATTTAATTTATTTAATATTTAATATTTCTATTTAAGTAAATTATTTACCTATTTAGGTAATCTATTTAATATTTTTAAAATATTGAATGTCTAATCTTCTTATTTAATGCAATTTTCTTTCGGCTGATGCCTCACAGATATCAATTAAAAAACTTTATCCTGTTAATTATTCAAAAATATAGTGATTTCTAGATGTTGTGCATAATTGTTAAGATTTTTAGAGAAATGGTAAAATAACACCTTTAGCGCGCGTCATTTTTTTTATTCATGCGTAACTTAAAGATTTATGCGTAACCTCGTTTCGGACGAAGCTTTAGCAAAGGAAAGAAAGTTTCCTTTGACGCGGAGAATCGCACTGTGCATTTCGCAGGCGCGAATTCTGAAACATCTCCTGTATATTATTCAATTATCCCAAATGAAAGAGGAAATATTAACGAAAAAAAGGAAATAAATTGACGCGATTTTTCTTTTCTGTCGCGATAAAAAGCGTTTCGCCCTATTGTTTCTGCATATACTCATCGTCCGCAGGTAAAACTATTATTATATATAAAGGCGACGATACTATGGCGCAACACGAGGAAGCTTATGTCAAGTATAGTTCGGGGCGTTTCCTTTTTCCGCCATCCTGTCATCCGAATGGGGACTTCTTTAAATTAATGTTATATATTCGTAACACGACTTTCGAGCACCCTGCAAGAGCACGTTTTCTGCGACCTTTTTTCATCCGTGTGATTCTATTAAAAAGTGAAATTAAAGAAAAAAAAATTATAAGAAAAAGAAAAAACAAAGATGCGAACGCAAAAAAACACACTCTCAAACGCAAAAACTCTCAAGAGTTTTGAGACAAATACTAATGTACTTAAACCATCTGTGAGTCTGCCTCGTCTTTTATAAAGTTCTTGCTATATTCAATCTATCGTATATTTAATTCGTATACCCTATTCATCCATATACTATCCCCCTATATTGATAATAATCAATTAATCCTAAAACAGACTGTGGTCCATCTGTCAGCAGAAAAGTAAGTATAACTCTTTTGCGACGATACGTGGAATAATATCGACCGATATTAATCAAAATATCATTGAAACATTATAACAATTTTAAAATTCTGAAAAATTAAAGGTATTTTAATATTTACGGAAAATTCTATGCAGCAAAAATGCAAAAGGATTCTACTTTTAAAAAGTTTTGTAATGCACGTAGACTAGTTTTCTATTCTGACATAGGTTTTCTTTTATTCTTTACTTCGAACAATTTTTTAAAGTCAGCGTTTTGTAACTATTCATGTTTCTCAGAATAGATAATTCGCTAAAAACGCTACATTTTCCTTTAAAAATAAAAACCCCCGACCATCCATCATACCGGGTGACCTGATTCAACAGGTGCTTCTGGTGGGGATGAACCCCTCCTCTTTTCCGAACAAACTCGTCGTTCGAATTCGATACTCGCGACTGATCGAATTTGCGTTCGAGGTTGCTCGATATCTTACGCGTGTAATCAATTAATCGTCGAGCACGTGTGCTAGACGCGCGAAATATTTATTAATGAAGGTCTGTCATGAAATTCTCCCAATTGACAAGTGTCGTCGAGTCGTGCAAAGTTATCCGCCGCCTCTGCTGGCGCGAAACGATGTTACATCGAGACGTCCATGCGAGATATATCGAATTGCCGCTCAGCCACGTGCGTTATATAACCCTACTCCGAATCTCGGAGCATTCGCCTGCCAACCGCGAGCTCCGCGAGTAGTTGCGTGTCGGTCGCACACTTGTGATTATTCGAACGGGGTAATTAGTGAACGGGGTCAACAGGAGAAACGTTTTTATCGCTCCTACGAATTTGGAATTCTACATAAAGAACGGAATATCTCTAAAAAATTGCCGAAGGAAATTGTGACTAAATTGCCACATTCTAATACAGCATGATAACGAAGAGATATTTCTGAGGAATTAATATATAATTAATTAGGAGAAATTTCCTCTCAACGCAGTCGAATAAAGCTTCGTTTGGACACGTGGATCTCTACAGTAGGTTGTGCTTATATGTAATAATATAATGTACACTTAGCGTGAAACACTACCGTTCCAAGTAGCAAGATGACGTCAAAAAACGTCTCAATGACGTCTCTAACTAATAAGTTAAGTTAATGAAACTTCACATTTGACGTCACCTTGCTTCGGAACGCCTCTTGATTTCATATAATACATGAATTAAAGCGGCGACCTATAATACATGTCGATTTTCAAAATAAAATAGAACGTCACGTCAATCGTTAGTTCAGTAATGATACTTTCGAAATTATTCGGCACTATTCTTATCTTCTGTTATCTTTCCCGGTAGACTTTGGCTGTAAATTTTATTATCATAATGATGCGATAATAATTATCAGGCCGTTATTATCGCATTCTCCGGGGAGAATGCAGCGAGCCAGCAAGTAATCGACGACTAGTCGCGTGTGCAAGATAATTTGAGAGCACAGACATTCTGAGGAGAATGAGCGGAATGCTGAGTCAGCGATTGAGCAATCGGAGATTGCTCGTCGATCTCCTCGCCCTGATGTTCGGTCTCGGCGCTTGGATCGGCGTGAACGGCGTCTACGTGCAACTGCCCCTCATAGTGCACACAGCTCCAGAGGGATGGAGCTTACCCGCGCACATGGTGATGCTGGTGCAATTTGCCAATTTAGGCCCCATATTGTATACCCTGTATATAAAGTAAGTTCATGGCCAGTATTCATAGTTGGCTCATATTTCAAGGTCGTCTTAAGTAATGTCTACGGCCCTGCGATTGGCCCTTGCGACATCTTAAGATTGTACTTAAGACAGTTTTAAATATATGAGAATCGAATACCGGCCTATGTTTCATAATGTTTTGGGGATGATTGCGTAACAAGCTTAAGTAACAAGTCTAACACAAATATCTTTTTTCAGGTACACCGCTTGGGCATACGACAAATATATCATTTACGCTCTGCTGACTGCGGGCACGTGCGCCTGTATCGCATTGAGTTTCCTGTACGATTACACGTCATTCGTCTTCGGCAACGAGCACTCGACTGCTCTCCTGTCGCTGATGTTCGTGACCGCCCTCGTCGGGTGCACGAGTTCCGTGCTCTTCATGCCGTACATGAGGAACTACCGTGAGATCTATCTAGTATCCTACCTCGTCGGGGAGGGACTGAGCGGATTCGTACCGAGTGCCGTAGCGCTGATTCAAGGCGTCGGTGGTAATCCGAGATGCGTCAACGTTACCAAGCCAGGTTCCAGTCACCTGGAGTTCGTGCCCGCGGAATCGGATCCGAGATTCTCCTCCGAGATATTTTTCATCTTCATCGGGTGTCTGTTGTGCCTGAGCTTCCTCTCGTTCCTAAGCCTGAACGTCTTGCCCACGGCGCGCGGGGAGCGAGTCAAGCTTCCGAGCAGCATGGAAATGCTGCCGACCGACACGACGGCGCCGCCGAGCTACAAAACTAACTCCGGCTGGACAATGCCGAAGTATACATACTACTATTTATTAGTCATGATGGCTGTGGTCTGTTTCCTCGGTAACGGCACCTTACCGAGCATACAGTCGTATTCCTGCCTACCGTACGGCAATGTAGCGTATCACTTGACGGTCACGCTGGCCTCCATAGCCGGTCCGTTGGCCATGTCCTTAGGCTTCGTCGTAAAAACGCCGGAGGTGAAGCTCCTCAATGTCCTCGTGGCGGCTATCTTGGCACTTTCGGGCTTCGTTTTGTTTTTAGCCGCGAAATCGCCTTCTCCGCCCTTGCAACATTCATGGATGGGTGAAATGATGGTAGTTGTCATATGGATATTACTTTGCGGTTTAATTGGCTTCGTAAAGATGGGCATTACGACGCTGTATCGGCCCGATCCTGGCAGGGGTCTCTACTACACCGGCGTCGCGACGCAAATCGGATCGTTGATAGGCGCAATCACCACGTTCAGCTTGGTCAATTACGCGAAAGTGTTTCAGTCTTATTCCTCCTGTGCGCATCTTATGGAAAATTAACATAGTCTGCACTTAGTCTCATCAATTATTCGCATTAGTAATATTAGAAAATATTTAGGATACATATTTTTTTTTTAGGAGGGGTATTAGCTTCTTTATGTAGTGTTAAACTGTTATCAAAGTTTTTTTTTTACAATTGTCAGGTAGAATGCATGACTATGATTCCTACTTTTATTTTAGCAACATAAAGACATTTAGTGATTACTAACTTATTAGTTATTATAAATTCAATTTGAGACCAATACTCGCTAGGACACGAACGTACGTATAAAACAATAGCGTTTTGTTTTTCCTATCTTGTGCATTTTGAACAATTTCTTCACAATAGGTTCTTTATTTGGTGCTTAGGTCCCGATAAAATATTTTAATATTCTTCTGAACAGAAAATCAAGCTCTTCACACATTGCGCTATCGAGGCGCACTTTCTCTCTCACTCGATATAATATTTAGAATTATCTTTATTAAAATAATACAAATCAATAACAAATTTTAAGATCAAGAGTCAGATGTTTTAGATAATTTTGTATATATATTAAGTACTTAATATTATGTGCTTAATATTCGAACAATTCAACTTCATTGTTAGATCTGCGATAGTGTGCATCTAGCACTATCTAAGTGCTCGAGTTCTTGCATTACGTAAACTTAATGCATTTTCTTTTATGACATTAACGCCCATAAACGCTCTATTTTATCTGATAAATTTTATCGAGCAGATTAATAATCAGTGTAGCAGAAACGGATGGGAGGGAGGGCAAAATTCTTTTACTCACATCCCAACTTTAATTATACTTCCATAACTCTGCTTCACGCGACAGAATTCCGTGCTTATATCTTCATCTATTGTGCGGAGAAGTAACGTATATACATATGTATATATCTGTGATATTTTAAGAATACTTAAATTGTATCAGATATCAGTATTGATATGAGTAATTAATTGATTTTTTTTTCGTTCAGAGTGCCGATACGCGCGATGAAGAGATTTTTAATTGCCGGCGAGTTAAGTACACGGTAATCGTTTGGCGAATGTTTGATCGTTATCTTGGGTACGTCAAATGAGGTCGCGCGTTTGTCCATCTTCTCGTGATCCTGTTCGGCATGTTCAGCTGCATCGGCGTCTATGGAATATATATCGAGCTACCGCTGCTCGTCAGAAAACTGAAACTTGCCCGCGTATATAGTGATAATGGCCCAGTTCGCGAACATCGGTCCCGTGACGTACGTCCTCCTGCGCAGGGACAACTGCCAGCCGAACGAGTCGTTGTTCATTCTGTGCCTGCTGTTCGCAGGTTCTCGCTATGGGGATGCTGATATTCTTCTACGACAGTAAGACCGCCGTCGGCGGCGAGAGGCACAGCCTGATCCTGCTCGTCCCTCTCGGTGTTCCTCTGCGCGCTGGTCGGCTGCTTCAGCCCGGTGCTGTTCATGCCTTACCTCCGCGACTTCGACGACGTTTACACGGTGTCCTACTTCGTCGGGGAGGGCTTGAGCCGTATGAGCGTCGTGCTGCCGAGCGCGGTGTCGTTGATTATACCGAGCGTCGTGCAGCAACGCCCGGCGTGCAATATTTCTCTTACGAATACAACGAAAACGGTTTCCCCTGATGCATCCGACTTGAAATTTCAGTATTACTTCTCGTTTCTCACTCTCGTGCTCGTGCTATTGCTCGTTGCATTTATCGTTCTACGATATTCCCCGTTTATATGAACTAACAAGAAGCCGCGGCATTTTAATTCTCTCGCGCGAACTAGAGAGGAGCGGTAACGAGCAACGCGACAAGTCTGACGTTAACCATAACGTTGATAACGTTGACTGTACGTCAGCCAAGAAGGAAAGTGAAGTGGCAAACGGGTCCCCGTTTAAGGTGAACGATTCGTCCGTATTTTCGATAGGAAAATTTATTTGTACATTCTTATTGGAATCTGTTGCTTCTTCAGTACTGGATCTCTGCCGAGTATCCAAACGTATTCGTGTCTATCGTATGGACATCTTGCCTATCAACTGGCCATCGTTTGCTCTCAATTCGTAGCACCGCTAGCGTGCTTCATGACGTTCTAGCTCACAGTGTCGGACATAAAGATTGTTAACTGCCTGTCTCTGGTGTGCTTAATTGCCTTATGCTACGTTGTGTGCGTGGCTCTACTGTCCCCCACCGCCGTTGCGAGAATCAACAGTCGATGTCGTATTGATTGTTCTGTCCTGGCGGGCGTCATATCGTATCTGAAACTTGTAACAGTGTCCCTCTTGAAGCACATATCGTCTCCGAAGGCGATGTTCAACATGGGCGTAGTTATGCAGACGGGCGAGTGATGTGATTCTTTCGTTCGTTTTAATTAATTTCACCGATTGTTTCAAGGAGTGCAACTTTTGCTCTATCTGAAAACTTTTAGTTAACAATTACTGAAACTCTGAGGCCTCTGATACAATAACAATGCGAGCTATTTCAATATATGAATCAAAAATAATCCGACAATAAAAAGAATAAAGGTAGTTTTTTAGGTAGTAAATGATAAGAAAAGACATTTTCAGTTTTAGGTAGGCTAAAAATGTATCGTTTTTCCAACACTTTGGAACAAAAAAAATATAGTTTATCCAAGTAATGTGGCAATATGTTAAAGCAGGGATATGCAACAGGCGGCCCGCGGGACTTTCCAATTCAGTTCTTAACATTCAAGCTTAATCCACAGAAAAAAATGAAAAATAAATAGAATTATTAGCGCGTAACGCCGGGAATTGTTTTTTATTTTTATGAGTTTTCTTGGAGCATTTTTTCGAATAAACTTTACGAGAGAAAATTTATTTCTATAAGGCAAAGTAACGCAAAGACAAAAAAATACAAATACGTGACACAATCACGAATTTCATATTTGGCCCGCCAAAGAATTTAGCGCATCCCTGATATGGAGTATACATGTTTCCTATGTTAATTTAATTAATTTAAAGTATTCCAGAAATTGTATTAAAGCGAGAAGCTGAGATGCTATAAAAAATTTATGTATACATCTTATGTAATGCATTTACAATTTCTAAATGTAGCAATATATATATATTTTTTTTTTAATAGCAAGAATAGATTCACAACTTTTACCTTACAGAACTGTGTAAGCTGCAGTTGCTACTTAATGATAAATAATTGTACATAAATAATACAAACACTGTATATTTTAATATAATTGTAGCAAAACAAATATTGTGCTGCGCACAAAAATTACAGAAATAAATATTTATTGAAATATTTATTATGTAATTTGAACTACTTAAATTTCTAAATTGGTGTAAATCAATCGTTTTATAAACGTAATTCGCATGGAGCGTTATATTGTTATTTTCAAATAAAATTTATGTTCTGTTAATTCTTTTATTTGCTGAAGTCCCCGTTGTCGAAATTCTTTACCTCACAATTGGATGGATTGGTTAAATTATGGTTGATTAAATTTATTGAACGAACAAGCAAATCTAATCAGTTCTGTCGAAAAGAGAAAGTCGAATGCAGATCTCGATTGAGGCATTCCTTTCGCGACACCCTGTATATGTGGCGTCGCTGGTGTGCGATCGCACAGGTGATGTACTCTTTAGCTGTATAAGGAGCTCGACGGCGATGGCCATCGCCGTTCGATAACACGACAGATCGAGCGTCGATAAACGTCCACTGTTTACAACGCGCTCAAGTCTTTTTGTTGAACCGTCGTGTCGAATCTTGAGCAGGTCGAATGATAATATTCAGATTCGCACGAAAAATTTGTGAGAGGAAAATGGATGACGAGAAGGCAAGCTGCGCGCACGACGACAAGAAGGACGCATCGCTGTCACTGCTGGATCTCCCGGTTGAGGTTCGTACGGAAAAAAAAGAAAAGAACATTGAGACTCTCACACGCATTCGCGTACGCGCGCGCGAAATTTATTTTTTATTTTTTTCTTTTTAATCGCCGCTGTCACTTCATCCCGTCAGTAGTCGCTTGTCAATGGAGTAAAGTGTGTTTGACCACAATCGACTCTCCCTTTCCCTCTTCCAGTCTCGCCGACCGGAGCGTCTGTTCGATTGTGCGTTTAATTTTTTTTTTAATTGTGCTGCATTTCAGATATTCCTGCATATATGCTCCTTCTTAGAGGCGTCGACGTTAGTACACAGTTTGAGCCTGGTGTGCAAACAGTTCAACCTTATTTTAAAGGATGATTCACTGTGGAAAGCGCGAATTAACCATATATGGCCGGATGCTAGCTACCCGTTCCTGAGTCCCGGTTAGCTCAAATTGATAGCACCCTTACGTCTTGCACGACCGCACACTCGTTTTGTAAATAAGTGAGACAGTCTATATATCACTCTACGCCAACGCTGTTCGAACTTGCGCATGCATATGTAGGTTGTATTGTACATCACTTGCTTTTATGTCGCGTTAGATTTTGTTTTGTAACATTTTATTTTTTATTTTGTGTTAAAAAAAATAAATATGTTCTTCAAAGTATTATTACATTATACATATTCCTCATAAGAAGTCTGAACAAGTTTGAGCAGCTTCGTTTACCAAAATAACCTAGTATGCATAAAGTAAGAACTTGAATAGATCTCTCGATGTGCTTGTATAGTTTATTTTATTTTGTACGTGATTCAAGTTGTATGCATACGCATTTTTCTAATAATTAATGTCACAGTGCGAATAAGCGCTGTTTTTATAGTTCTCTGATAAAAGAAGTGACGTGCCATTTCAGCGAGGCCCGACGAATTGTTTTGGAAGTTGTCGTGCGTTGCGATCGAGAAACAAACGGCGCTATGGAAACGACGGGATTCCATGGAGAAATTGGTGATCGGGAACCCACAGTGCAGCACGATGGATGCTCTGTTACTGATGCATGTAGGTAATATGTTGTATTAATGTTCATTTCCATCGATATGAATTAACTTTGATCTTTGTTTAACTTACTTCTTATCTTCTCGTAATTCTTAGAATCAGAAAAAGGTATAAAAACGAATTATAATTCGAGATTAAAGTTGATCTATATTGACAGACACGAATATTTGTAACTAAATATCTACTAAGCGTTTATGGACGTATTATGAGAAACGATAATAACGATGATAATTTTTAGGGTGGAAAAACCTGTATAGCTGGTGGCAGAAATCGCACCCTGGTTTACTGGAGACTTTTCGAGGAAGTCTATCTACCGCCTCAAGAACTTGAGAACCCCGCCTGCGTAGATAATGCACACGGCGGATGGATCTGGGATCTGACGGCGATACGCAACACGATCTACAGTTGCAGTTGGGATCAGACCGTCAGGTCGTGGGCGCTCGTCGACTGCGGTCTCGTCAAACAGAGAACTTACGAATTGTACGCGAGGTGCGTGATAGCAAAACTCTGTTTCTTTCGGTCGTTTTACGATACCTGAAGACCGAGCGGGAAAGATAATTCCTGTGGGAAAAATAATTGTTTCCCTCCAAGTCACTCGAATGCAAATACTACATTATTCGTCTCACTTGTCGGCACAGATGGTTCGGAAACGCAATTCTCAATTTTTATTTGCTAAATCGAATTATATAACGCCATTTTGCGCGTATCGTTTTTTTCAATCAGTGTCAAATATTCCAGGGACGGGCAGGGTGCGCTGCTATGCGTGTCGTCCTGTCCAGAGCTGTCCATCTTTGCGGTCGGCTCGTACGGCAAGACCGTGTTTGTGTTCGATGCGAGAACGGCGAAAAAGATCTGTCAATATCAGTCGCATACCGGGGCCGTGATTAAGCTGGCCATGAACTCGGAATACATCCTGTCCGCCAGCGAGGACAAGACGGTGTCCGTTTGGGATCAGAGAGCCGGACGGACCATGAAGTCTATCACAGTAAGTTTCCATCCCATACTGTTTGATTGACATTAAGAAAAGAAATGTGGTTATGATATATATATATACATATATATATATATATATATATCACGGTTATGTACCTCTTAGATTTCAGGCGAAGCGTTCCCCAGGTGCATAAACATGCAACGGGATTGGGTTTGCATTGGGGACAACACCGCGAAGTTGCATGTGCTAGATCCAAAGAACAATTTCGAACTAGTGAAATCATACGCCACTGAGCATACGAAGGGGATAACGGGGGTGCATCTAGCGGAGGGATGTCTGATAACGAGCTCCACGGACGGCACTGTCAGAATTTCCAGCCCGACGGATCCACCAAGGCCCATTGCTACTTTTAATTCGGGGTTCGGAGAGATCGCCAGGGTGAGTATTATCTGACGTACACGGAAAAAAAAACTATTTTGCTGAACTACGTGAAAATTTAGCTACATGCAGATCTTAAAATAATTATACAGAACCATCAAAATAATTATATAGGGTAACAATGCTGCCAAAAATTTTGACATTCTAAGAATCAGCTTGAGCGTTCAATATAATTATTTTGCTGGACATTATTTTCAGATCTGTATTCAGCTAAATCTTCAGATACTTAAGCAGAATCGTTCTTTCCGTGTAAGATTTGCCGAAAATATCATTGATTTTGAGGAAAAAAGTTTGTTTACGTGTAAAGTGAGAAATTACAATATTATTGTATATTATCACTTAATATATTACAATATTATATTGTTACTTAATTATTTTATAACACAAATTATTGTAAAAGATAATGTGTGATTATAGTTCACACGTTATAAGTATGAGTCATTTCTATTCTTTGACATGACTTCCCTTCGCAATTTTATTACATATTAAGCGCATTTTATATAAAATCTTATTACAATTTTGAAACTATAAGATTTTATTATTATTTTTCGGAATTCGAATCTTCCAGCAAAGTTGTGGGTGAAGTCCTTCGACGACATTCTTACAAATCTAAAATATCTTGCACTTAAATATTATATACATATATATATTTTTTTTTCGTGTCTTATTTTGCAGATGGACTATCTGAATGGCACTCTCGCGATATCTGGAATCGATATCGCGGTGTGGCGCCCAAAACTGACGTGTTCAACGAAACGTTAATAAACAGAGAATTTCTATACGTGTTCTATAGCTATTTCGTAGCTATATTGCTTTTATATGCATAATATATTCTTAGTTTTTACTAAGATATTATTTTAATGCCTCTCTAACGTACAGTGTGATATACATATATCGTTTCGTATAATTAGATGTACCGTTTTTGTTGAAAATTCGTTTTAGTAAAAACTTTAACTAACATCGCTTATATTATAAACTAAGCGATAATGATGATAGCTATAATTATAAGCCGAACTTATAATTACAGCATACATGGTGCTTTTACGTTACGACCAGAACAAGAGAAAACATATTTTTATAGTATTAGTTAAGTTCCATTTGAGCATTTAATATATTTATACAATACATTGCATAATATCGTATGTCGTATTATCGCATCATTGTTTGTCGTTCTGCAGATTTTCTGAGGTGTTATACAAGGTGTTACATTTTAATATAATTTATTTTCTCGACGTTGAAACTGCCGCATGCGGCTCGAGAAGCAGCGACGTTTAGGAAAATCTTCGAATACCAGAGTCTATTTATAACATTTATAAACGAAAATACATAATAAGTGTATTCGAATAATAAAACAAATGTCTCAAACCTGTCTGAAGATTCACGCCATTTCCGCGACACCGTCGCGGGTTCCGCGGACACGCGAGAACGGAATTCGAGCCTTCCGCGCGGGTTGGTCACGTGACACATCGCAACGCGCGTCACGTGACGCGTTTCAAGCGATTTATAAGTTGGCAATTAGTATTTTTGTATCTCGCGACGAGCCGTATCGGCGATCGCCTTTGTTTCGCGAGTTTCGCTCGAAGAACAAACCGCACGTGCGCGCAAAGCGTACATCGTCGCGGCCTCGCCCGTAACGTTAACTTATCGTGCGCGCGTTCGTCTCGCTTCACGTGGTCACCCGAGAGAGCGAGCGGTAATTCGCGACTGCGTGCAAAGAGGTTAGCGCTCGCGGACGTGACGACGCCAAATTCGTATCGATAATCGCGAGAATCTCTGGCGGCAAAAGTTCTCGTTCAAGAAATGACAGGATTCCGAATATACTTTCGTAAAGAATAACGCATGACGGGAACAAAGGCGACGAGGTGTCGTTAATGGAGATTTTTTTAACGCGGTTCAACGAAACTCCTGATTAAACGCGCGGCATTGGTTGACGGGATAGCGGTGAGTCGAACGTTGTTTGGTATACTTACAGAATTCAGGTTTCTCTCTAGAATATTTACGAAATTAATATTACGAAATTTAACAGCGAAAATCTTTAAAATCATTAAATTAAAATTATTATTATATATTTTTTCAATATTTAATAATTATATATTAATATGTATGTTCTATATATAATTTTATATTGAAAGTTATAATTTTTTTGATAAATTAACAATTATATGTAAACTAAATATTTGGTCAGTAAATTGAATACATTCCAATGACGAGTGAAAAATGAAATACAAGCATATATATTATAAAAATTTTAAATTAAATACGCGCACTATGAAAATAAAAGCGCGATTATAGGCGGGAGAGGAGATGTGAGGTTTCATGGTAAAATTAACGAATCCATTATATTGGCTTTTGATTCACCCGTTTATTCACGCAAAACAAGAATAGACTTGGATATCCGTGTCGTTAATCGTACTCATTGTACACATTTGTCAATATACATACAATATCGCGCGTTATACGCATCCACGAATTGCATATACGAAATGTGGTGTATACACATTACATGTTATATGTATACATAATATAATTTTACTTTAATTGAATAGGATACGATTCCTCAGCCCTTTCTCATCTTTGTTCTCGAATTTAGTCGCCTGTATAACGTGTATCTGAGTATGCGTATATATAATATATGTATATATACGAGCACTTCCTCTTCGTATCTCCGGTGGTATTACCCACCCGCGTTTCCCTGTTCCTGCGTGTATTTGTACGTGCGCGTACTCGCGCGCTGCGCAGATAAAAATATCCTGCGCGCGCGTCGTTGCCGTCGTTTGCAAAATTTGAACAAAAACTATATCCAGCGAATAAGTCTTCGGCGTGTCTCGTAAAAGTGTACACACATCGTCTGCTCACGTGTCGAGTTCATTCATATCGGGAGGAAAGAAGAGAATTAAAAAAAAAAAAAAAGAAAGAAAGAACGAGAAGAAGAGAGGAAAAACGTATCCGCAGTCGTGCATGCACGACGCATCCGCGCGAATCGCAGCTCGCAACTCGCGTCGACAGGTGTGCGAAGCGGAGAAGTGGCGGATTAACAAGTCCCCGCGAACCTATTTTCGTCGGTCGACGACGCTTCGTCTCACGAGAATCGTCCACGTTCGCGGGTACATCCCGCCCCCCCCCCTCCACCCTCCCGGAGATTCCTTATTTTACGACGCTCTGAACACAGTATTCATACGTACGAATACATCTGTCGAGGCGCGATAAGATATCTGTGAAATTGTGAGAAATATTCCTGCGACAGGATACGCGGAAGTAGGACAAGTATACTTCCGTGCGAACCGCGCGCTATACTTTTTTCAGTTTTTTTCGTTAAATGTTAAAGGATTTCACCTGTCGACGCTACTTGCGCGATAATTGCACGCGTCATTCGGACGATGCTTGCTTCGTACGTTGCATAAATAAAAACGCTTGATTCTCTGATGCGCCGAAAAAAAACGCGCGTGTTCAGGAATCAGGCCGGCCTCGGAGAAGACACTTCGGAGTGCACGAGTCAAACTGGTAAATTTTTATATCTTAAACGAATGATGTAAAAACCGTGGAAAAAGTAAAAAAACAATAACAAAATGCAAGACTTATCCAAGCACATATCGATTGGGTGATATCGTTATGTGCCTCTGGATTTTTCTGTGCCAAATTTTAATTGATTTTAATGCAAAAAATTACGATTTTGTTAACACAATCTTTTTCTTCGCGATACGCAATAAATATTCTTCAAAATTTGCAAAACAGATGCGAACGGATGAATGTAAAGTAAGTGGAATGTATGACGGAGTAATTATATAATTTTGAGCCTCGCCTCGAAGTGTCAGAGTTCTCGAAGACCGTACCTGACGATCGCACAGACGGAATGATTTCAATACTGACTTTTGGAATGATTCGTAATTCTCTCGGTCAGAGTGGGGACAAAAGCTGTCGCAAGGCACGGCGGAATGTTAGTGAAGCGCGTCCTCGGAATCTGCGAAATCAGGGGAGAGACTCGAATTTTCTGATTTTCAGAGTTTCATAATGGCGATTTCACTAAATGCCGATTGGTATTAATTTTCGTGATAAAATTAGAAGAATGTAAGCTCTCCATTTATTCTCGATTTGACGTTTATTTACTCGACGTAAGATTGACATCGAAGCCTGTCGAGAAAATCGATCGTTACTCTTTCAAATTTTAACAATTCTTTATCAGTCGAGCTAAAATTTGTTCCCGTTCCCGCGGGGTCCCGCGAGACTGATTCTCATCTCCCGCGTATCGTTCCTCTCTATTTGTCTTGGTTCTCTTTGTCGAGGACGAGTAGTCCCTGATCGGACCGACTTTCCACAGGGATTGATTTGCATATCGTACACTCGGGGCAATCATCCAATTGGACCGCTCGGCTTTGAGGACGCGCGTCCTACTCCCGCCGCGTTTGCGAACAACCGGGTCCCCTCGGTTAGGTACGCGCGCTAATACTCTTGCCTCGCTAACGTGTCGCTTAATACATAACTTAAGAAACGTGAAAAAATAAATAAATACTACGCGTTTCGTGCGCGACTCCGTCCACGGGCTGCGCCGGGACGGACGCGGCGGAGGAAGACGCTCTGCTCTCTCTCTCCGTTACAGCTCGCGCGCGTCACGCTCGCAAATAAATTACAGGAAGACCCCTTTATCTTATATCTGCCTAACTCCGTCTCTTTGACGAAACTTTTGAGAACGCTCACGCGTGTGTATTCGACTCGCGATTGTCCGCGTATAATTGAATACCGTTGGACACACTGCCAGCGTCTCTTCCACCGTGCCGCCCGGTGCGTTCACCCCGGCGAAAATGTCGTCATATAAATTGCAATAATAACAACAATAATTCTACTATGACATAATAATATTAATAATAATAATGATATAAAAGCGGTCGGTTCGCTCGTGACCGATGGACCTTCGATTTATTCTCTTCTTAATGTTTGCTTTATAATACTATAGCCGAATGAAAAAATCTTGCTTTTCGAATATTCGCCAAATTCTCGCGTTTATTTTTAATTTTGTTTTTTCGTTCATGCCTAAAGACGTTAACATGTATATATATCTGTGTTACGCGATGTACTCTAACTATTGACACTCTCTTCGTCCGTCGCGCGCGTACATTCTCTACAAACGACTAAAGGCTCAATCGTTAAAACAACAAACGGATGAAGGATGGCGATAATAATAAAAATATAATCCTGACATAAAAGTAATCGAATAATAATATAATAATAATAATAATAATAATATAGATTACCGTTATTACTACATAGTGATGAATGATGACGATTAATAATTAATGATTAATCGAATAAAAACGAGTGGCGTGGTGCGCGAGAGCGCAGATATTTTATCGACTAGAATTCGTATAGATTCGCTCGGTGTATGTTTGTGTGTGTGTGTGTGTGTGTGTATGTGTTGTGTATGATTTATTTGTATGGCTCAATCGTTTCGGCTCCCCGTGGCTCGTTATTTAGTATTATTGTGTAACTTCGTTCTTCATTGTGCCAAGCAACAACGCGACTCACCGCGAAGAGAGGATCTCTCTTCCGGACGCCCTCCGAATTCTCTCAATCGTATATACTCTCATCGCACCGCGAGTACTCGCCGACGTTAGAATGACGTTCACGACAGATCCCCTACTATAGGTGCAGGGACATCGAAAACCCACGTCTGTCGCGAATCGACAGATGAATCGTGTCCAGACACGACCGCGAATTTTTCCTCCGCGAGTCTTTCGCAACCTCGTATAGACGTCGTAAGTACTATATATTGTATTGTTCTCCGGGTTATCCACCAATCAATCAGATGGAATTGTCCTGAATCCTAATAAAAGATCCTGACGATTGCTCTGGAGATCGATCGCAGTTCGTAGATCGGCGCGCGTTTACCGTTCTCCATCAAAACGCGACATCTGAATCATCCCTCTTCAGGTGAAGAACAGATATATCGAATTAAATTTCTCGTAAAACTTCAGACTTCTCGAAATTCGCGGAACGACGGCGATCGACGCGTCGAAGCCCACCTCTTCGTTTGTAGTCCTTTTCGAGACCGCGTTCTGCATCGATCTCCTTCTCGGTCTTACGTATGTGTTTTTACGTATAATGTGTACGTGTGCGTGTGTATGTATGTATGTGTGTACCGCGTGATGTGTCTCCTTCGTGGTGTGGCGCGTCGTTGCTCCGACCATGTCCCGTTTACTTCTTGCCACCTACGATCATGATCATCTCCTCCAACATTTCCTTCTCGTCCTCAAGCAGCAGCGCTTGGGTGCAGCTCCTGAAGTATTCTGTGCTGAAGCAGTCTTGCCTGTGGCGGGGACAAAGATCGGGAAACAGAAAGATCGATTAGTCCATTGGTGAAGTGTCGATCTAATCACCAAAGCCCTCCGTACGTGATGCGCTCACCGGATCTGTTCGCGATTGTTCGCGATGGAATCCGTGAATATAACAAAAGTACTTTCGTGACGACCAAATTGTTACAACATTAATTTAAAAGGAAATTTTCGTTATAATTTTTATATACATCAATACTTGGTAAAAAATACATATTTATTCATAAATTTTGAAAAATAGGAATTTTACAATTTTTTGATTGACTCGCAAGCAGCACTTTTGAACGGAATGCTTGAAAATTTTGTTGTGCGATTGATTGTCACATTAATGTGCACGTTTAGGCGAACAGGTCTGTGAGTTAGTAATTGTTAGTGCGTAGGCATCGGGACACGATGATGTGGGAAGGCATCAATTGTGTTTCGCATTCTACATCGGGAATTCATATCACGAGTAAAATGCGAATTTGTTCATATTTAAAAAAAAAAATCACAAAAATATGTAAAAATGTCAAACGGCGCAAAATCGCAGATATCGCCACCTAGAAAAAAAAGTACGTATTCCTACGTCGATCCGCCTCCTTATCATCGTCCTGAAAAAACGATGCTGAAAAAACATCGACGAGGCGCAAAAATTAATCAAAATGTAAAACATTCATTCGCAAATTCGCTGGCAAAAACAGTCGAAAAATCGTTGACCCCGAAAGGGCAAAAAGTATATCAAAAGTATATCAAAAGTAGATATATGAAGTAGATATGAAGTCGGAATGTACGAGATGATATTACAATTACATCGCCAGCGATGCTGCATTTTGTTCAATTAAATTACAAAACTAACAGCTAACAGCTAATAGAATAGTCAATATTTATTATATATTTCATATTAATTGTCCAAAATTAATTTTAGTAGAACTCGCTAACATTCTTGAAGAAGAAACTGCGAAGTAATTTTGATTATTTCGATTAATTTCGATAAATTCCAACACTTCTCTGCAGCATTGCTAACATAAGGATTTTCTCTTTTTCTTTCTCTCTTGCGTAGAATTACCTAATGTCTCATACTCATTATCTCGGTGCGAAGATACTATAATACGCGTGGATATTCGTCCAGGGGATGGTGTCACAAAATGCAACGAAAATATAATGACGAGGGGAATAACAAATGTATTAAAATAAGGTATAAGTAGAACAATCAGTCAACCCGCGATATCGCGATATCTATTTCCTATTCACAACTTCAACCTCTCCTACGCGAAACTGTTAATACATTCGATAATGCGATCTACTATTTAAATCTTCGAGCACGTTATTTAATATATATACGTTCTTATTAGATCGTTGTCACTTATCATCAGTTTTTGAAGCATTTGCATGTGGTACTCCGATCCAAACACCGCTGCGATTGATGAAGCACAACTCGATCGTCTTAATTATTAATGTATTCACGATTTTTGTGACGCTCGTCATTACTCGCATCGTGGTAATCGGAGACGCGTCGCGTTTCCCGCGGACTTAGCTTTACAAATATTATTACAAGATATTTTACGTGTATTCGACATACGCAAAAATTGCGCGGACAAATCGGAGTTCTAAGTGTTTCCGACGGGTGTGTGAAAATGTGTAGGTATATATCGGGACGAGAGCAGACGAGGAAGGATAATGGAAGTGCAAGCGGACACAGTTAGTTCTTTATATTTGCGAAAAGCGGAAAGAACACAAAAAGGGGGCGCATAAAAAGGGAAAAATCATAAACTAAAAAGAAAAGGCTACCTAAACCCCGGGATCAGCTCCGTGGAGTTGCTTGATCCACATTTGGATCTTTCCGACCTCGTCCGACAGTAGCAGGACGTCTAAGCATCCTTTGAAGTAGTCCGTGGTGAAACATTCCTTCCTGCAGGGAGGTAAAAAAAAACACACAATGAATTACGTCACGTTAATACAAATTGCATTCGTATAGACAGCAGCTCGTAGCTCGAAAATCCTGAAAAGTGTCTCGCGCGAACGAATCGCAGACATGTACCAAACAAGTCCATTCCTTATAACTGATTTGATTAGAATGTATGTAATTATACAATTATGGTAATGAATTATTTATTGTGTTATCGACGCAACTATGTATTATTTGTAAAGCAAATAATATAGATTCATCGGCAACATAATAAATAATTTAAGACTCAGAATTTTAATACGTTATACATCTCTGGCCAGAAATATAAAGCACATAAAATTTCTTTATTTAATGAAAAATAAATAACATTTTGAAAATAATATTTATTTTTACTAAATTACTTAAATTCAATATTTTGTTAATTCTTTTTTCATTGTCGCCTTCTTCAAGAAAATAAATTGAGGGTATTATATTTACGGCCAAGGCTGTATAAATGTTAAAAACTACAAATTTCACATTGTAATTCTAGGATTAATAATAACTTTATCATTTCATTATTAATTCTAAGCATCTTTCGAATAATGTCGACGGCATTCCAAAATTCCAACGTTAACTTCCAGAAAGTAAAAGTGCACGTGGAAATAATAAATCTTTTCTTGGCGAAAGGATGATTGTTCCGCCAATAGATTCTTTGAGCGGCGATTTACCGATGCATTTTCTCTTTCTCGTCATTTAACGTTTTGACATGATAAAATTTTTCCTAAATTTAGCCACACACGCCGCCGTTATGAGCTCTATTCGAGCTAGTCAGTCAATCCATCCCTTTTTCACGTTGATCCCGCTCGCTCGTTCGCACAATAGCTCTTTTGAGACGGCCGTTAAGCGGCTTAACGCGGCGCGGCACAAACGGCAGGTAGCAGCGGATGTGCGTTGGTATTCGCTCGCACGAGCTATAAATAGAAGAGAAATCTCATTCCATTTCGATACGCGTGCCGACGTGTGGTGAACGCGCGCGCCTGTTACGTTACGTGCGTGTGCGTGGCGTGTACGTGCGCGGCGGTACCGAGAGCCAGAGAGCACGTGTGCGGCCCGCGAAGGTATATACACACAAAGGTACGGTATACGTATCCACCTTGGCCGTTGTTCACCGCGCGTGACATTTTTCAAGGTAGAAATCACGCGACGGAAGTCGTTCGCGAAATGGTTTCGCCGCGGCCAGAACTCGGAAGATTTTTCCCCGGTTTAGTTTTCCTTTTCTCCGCCACCGCGTTTGTTGCCCGAGGAAACCCTCAGCCCGCGAAACGACAGCGCGTATATTATGTACGGAGCGAGATCACTCTGGGATACGTACACCCAATTTTTTTCCTTCTGTTTCCCTCGATTAAATATAAAATATTTAAACACTAATTTTTTTATTTCTCCGAGATCTCACGGAGCTTTTGTTCGTATATAAAATATAAAAAAAACGAGCCGCGTCCCCACAAAGTTGATTTTATATGAACTAATTGCAAAAAGTGTAATATGGAGATTATTAATTAATTAGATCTCAATGAGCAAACTGCTAATTAAAAATGTTTTCAATAAATTAATTAATTAAAGCAAAAGTATGAAAAAGTTTTTAGAGTATATTCATATGAATATTGCATCAGGTATATTTTTAAAAAATAAAATCAAGATACAAAAATTTTACTTCTATGTTTTACATTTTACTAAAATATCTTAGCGGTTTATTTTTCGCGAACTGAAGTTATCGTCCAGCTATTCATACGCCCAAATTAATTTCAAACGGATTAAAAATATTCACTGCGTCCAACTGAGCTCAGAACTTTAAATGCCCTTAAGTATTTCAAGATCATCGCGTCTCTATCAATCGCGTCATCGCAGATGACGATTGCGAATACACCTCATCCTCGATTGACTTACGCTCCAAATCGCCACGCAACAACGGAACAACAGCCAGCAGCGCGCGCGGGGCACTGCCGACCGCGAAAAGTATCTAGTCATTGAATATAATTGAAACGTACTTGCAAAGCATGTGCAATTGCGGTTCCCGGAAGAGGTTGTAGCAGTCCTCGCAGATGCGGTCCAGACGGGCGAAGATGCTCTTGTCGTACACGCCCTTGCACTGGATGTCGAAGAACGACCTTTTGCCCAGGGGATGGCCGCTGAGGCTGGCGGCGTCCGCGCCCAGGTCGATGCAGGACGAGATCAGCAGTAGCGTCAGCGACCACGTGAGGACGGACACTAGTAAGGGGCAGGACGAGCCCGCGTGCGACGACCTCGACGACGACGACGACGACGACGATGGCGACGTAGACGTCGACGACAGCAGGGTCGAACACGAGGAGTGATACGCGGCCGATGGATACATCGCGAACTCGTCGTTGGATGATGACTGGGTATTCTGCTGTCGATGCATCATCTGTAAGAAGAAAGTCACAGTCATTAGATCGCAGTTTTTTTTTCTTCTAATTGCGATCTTGAAAATGAAGTGCCACATCACATTCGAAATCCTTTTGATTATAGATTTAACAGTGATCGTATTTTTCGCGAAAATGCAATGCAAACGTGTTCTTGGATTCGTCAAATTGGATAAAAATCCAATACCTTTGTTTAGATTCAGATATTTATATGCTTCTTACGAATTATGTGTTACTATAGCTATACTGTAAGATACAAAGAAAGTTTCCACGTCAATTATAGCCTTGCTTATTGATGCCAGCCGCCAATAGCTCCGTATTTATAGAGACCGCGCTATTTGCTCCTACACACCTGTGTCTGATCATTCGGATGATTGATAGATAATGAAAGAAGTATGTGTTCCATTTGTTTGAAGCCATACGAAATTTTATTTACACTCACATGATGCATCATTGAAGAATTTATGTTTATTTACTATCAGATTCAATCAAACATTTAATATTTTTAAAAATTTAAATTAGGTATGATCAAGAATTGCAACATTAATCGTTAACCTTTTTTTACGAATAATGCTACATTTGATCAATTATTCTTTCATTAATTCAGCTATCAGCATATAATTTATCCTGCATATAAAAAATGAAAAATATTATACCAGTATATATGTATATTAATTAAATTACACATCTTTCATAAATTAATTATATTAACACGTTTTTCATAAATTAATTTCTGAAGGGATAAAAGTTGTTGTAAATAAATTTATTTAAAGTTGATAAAAATTAATAAACTAATTAATTAAAAGTTAATTCATATCTTCGCTGATAAGAAACTCGACCGAAAATTTACGATAAGCGACAAAATTAAATTGACGCGATGATGACATAGCGATGAAAGCATGAGATATTTGCCCGCTATTACGAATGTAAATACTCTTTGCGCGCGGTTGGAATTTTTGCTCGATTTTCGATACGTATACTAAGAATACGTGTATTATAGTCGTTATTTCCGGTTCTTTCTAATAATAGACGCGTCGGCGATAAAGCGAAACTAGATATCTTAAAGCCAAAATCTAAAGCCGGAGCTTTTAACCGTGCCTTCCTTCACGAGGAATGAATGGATCTAAAATCGGGCCATCGGACCCCCTGGCGTTCGTGGGACCGTAGGTTAATAAATTGTCGAGCGGATCAGCCCACCGCGCGTGCTTCTTCGGGCTTCTCAAACCTCTCTTCGAAGAACAAAGAATCACCTCTTCACGCGCGCGATACAGAAATTCTTTCCTATTCCTTTCCTGTCTTTCAGTCATACCGACTTTATATTCGGACCGAAGCGACATGTTAGTCCGAAGGACTACCTTTTACAAATGAAATCTTTTAAAATATGTTCCCCCGAGAGAAACCCCGGGGAAGAGTTCCCGATTTCGCGAGTCGAACATCGTCGGCACGACCGTTCGGTCGAGAGTGCGAGATCACTCGTACATATGTAACGACGGACATACGCGCGTTCGGGTATACCAATATACCCCATCATCTTCTCGCTCTCCTCCTCCTCCTCCTCCTTCGATTGACCGGCCGGCCGGTCGGCCCGGCCTGCACACACGCAAACACATGCACACAGGTTGAGTTGTAAAGCAACTCTTAACCAGTCCTGTGCAGCACTGCGCTGTGAATGGACCACACGCAGGTAGGTTCTACCTGTAAACGTCCTCAACCGACAACTTCATTAACCGAGGGCCCCAGCGCGCACACGATCCACCACGAGCGGGAGGGCGAGGGGGAGGCGGCCTCCTCCTTTCTCACTCTCTTTCTTTTCGCCCCCCTTCGTCTCGCGCCCTCCTGTGTCCCTCTTTTTTCCTCTTCGTCCGTATCGCATCCGTACCATCCACGGCGACGCGGCGGCTCTCTCGTTCCACCTCCTCCTCTCTCTTCCTCATCCCACCTGCACACACGAGAGCGAGCGTTTCGCCCGGTTTCTTCTTTTTTTCGGAACATAATCACCGCTCCCGGGTGGGATCTTATTTTTAGCCGCCAGGACGATTCTCGGAACTCTCCGCGGCGCAACCGCTCTCCTTCTATATATCGGCGCCTCCACCTGGTAATTGGCCGTAGGCCGATAATTTGCCCCCAAAGTCGCCCGCATCCTGAGATCGTTAAGACTCTTCTCTCACTCTCTTCCGTTTTCTGCCCACCTCTCCTCCTCCCCCTTTTCCTCCCTCTCTCTCTCTCTCTTTGCTCTCGTATATGGATTTCCAAAGGCAAGCGCTTATCTCTGCAGGAAAGAATATGGACATGTTCCGAGGATCTGTCTCGTTTCTCCTCGGGGCTCGACTTTCTCGGAACGTATCCGGTGTGAACCGCGATCAGCGGTGTCGTATCAAAGAAGAGCCAGAGTCTCTCCATCTCCAGATCCTCTCCTCGTTGCTATTTAATTGATTTCGTTGGGCCTGTATCCGGCCGTCAGTCTCCGTAACCATCGCGTAATGGCTTAACTAGAATTGCCAGTCGTCCTGGGTAAGGTGAAAGTAACTATATATGTCACGAGTGTGCACGCGGTATCTCTGTTTAATTAATTTAGTTGCATTCGGTGTAGGATTTCGTGTCTTAAAATAATAAGATCTCGAATTTCTTAAAAGTGTACAAGAAGAAAATAAGAAATAAATAACAAATTGAAATGAATTAATACAAGGACCGAAAATAAGCTAATTTAATTTATATCAATTTGTTATTACAATAACGAGCTGAATATTATGTCACTTATATTTTGCATTAGGAAATAAATATTTCATAGATTACGTATTTCAACATAAATCTAACAAATTAGATACAATGTTCTTCGTATTTATATATAATTTCATTATAAATATCGGGAGTTTTGTCATAAATATCTATTATAAAAAATCGAAATTAATTTACATTGAATTACAGATTGTCAGTTGAGTGATAATTTTTAATAAATAATTTAAATTAAATAAATTTAATGAATTTTTAACAAATAATTTAAAATATTGTAAGATAAACTAGATGATAAATTACATTCAATTAATATATTTAAACAAGATATTTAATTTGTAAACATATACTTTCTAAAATCGCGGATTTTTCTCTTTTAATTAAGACGAAAAGAAGAGATTTATACAAACACCCGTCGCATCCTCCTTAAATAAATCTCCTCGATTATCCTTATCGCGGTTCTCTCGTTTCGTCTTCGTTCGGGAGACCGATCGGGATAACGCGTGTGAAAAAATCTGAGGGGGTGGGGGGGAGGCCGACGTAACGAGGCGACGTAAAGACGTCATAAATTAGACCCCAGTTGCACCGGTACATTTTAAGGTACGGAGGGGGAGGGAGGGAGGGAGGACTTAACTCTCCCGCTTGGCCCCGATTCCGGTAATGGCGACGGGCGTCCCCCGCCCGGATTTAAGCCCGTGAGGAAGGGGGGGAGGGGAGGAAGGACTCTTATCTTAAATTTCCCGGTGCATTGACAACCGGACCACACAGGGGCATAAAGTGCATCGATATATGCGCCGCGGAGCCGTCGCTCTCGCCTCTGACACCGCCGCGCGGGACGGTAATTGAGCCGGCTTTAAAAAAACGGTACAACGCGCGCGCAGGGGTCCGATCTCGGCCCCCCCCCTCATCCACGATCTCACGAGGCGAAACATTCGACTTACTTACCGAGCAGATTACATTATATTTTGCGCGCACCGACGGACACAGCGCGCAGGAAAGCCCGGCCGTTCCCGACGTTGTATAAGTAATGGCGCTTTTTAACCGGCCGATGTAGCGTACGAACGCGTACCCGCGTGTATTTACGGAGGTATCGCGCCGCGCGCGATAACGCGTCGCAACGTGCTCGCCGTAATTTACAGGGCAGAATCGGTTAGCGACTAATAAAGTAAGGCGGAATCCCTTAACCGACGTGCTCGTACGAAAAAACGACGACCGTTCTTCAGGCCAGAATTTTCATCGCGAGCTCGAACTTTCGACGAAGACTTTGCATATAAAAACTTATGATCCCCATTGAAATTTTTTTCTAAGTAATTTCATTAACACTTTATATACTTGTGTCTAATTTAAGTTACTTAACTCGATGTATTTACAGTTTGTGTGGACAAACTGAAATTAATTTCTCGAACTAATTGATTTCTGTACCGGTTTACGAAGGACGTTTTTTTTTCGGTCTTCTCGAAAAATCGAGACGACTACAGTTAACTGCGATCGCGATTAAGGCGTAGAAATGTATTTCGCAAATGGCTGATGGAATCGTTGCGTCGCGCCGATACAGCAACGTCTCGATTGCGTCTCTCGCGAAAAATCGTCGCTATATTTAGACCGAACGGCCTGTGGGCGTAACACAGAGATCGGGTCACTGCAAGTCATACGTATTCCGCTCCCCGTATAGAGATTACGCGTATAATCCGAATGAGAATTAATAGTTGTCGACGCAGAACGAGAAATCAAAATGTCAAGATGATAAAATCACATTCGCTTTAATCAGAGCATGAAATAGAATTGAATTTTGATATCATCAATATAGTCTGATCAATAGTTCTTTTCGGAGTTCCTTATTTTGTCTGATAGTGATTTTTTGTGTGATTAGAGTTTACTAGTTATTTTAAGATGGCTTATCTTCTAACTATTTAGTATATTTAAACGGATGATAAAAAATAGAATTGAAAATTTCAATTGTAAAATCGCGAGTTTTAAGGAATAATCTAACTGGACCCAAGGAACGGGTCCACGGGTCCGGGAACGCAAGATCGTATTCTTGCAGGTATTGCAAATCGATATTCTAGACAGGTCCGCCCCTTTTATAGATGCCATTTGATTATGACGCACAACATCATTGCACCTTATGCGTACGCCGCATATAAAGGAAGATGAAATACGCAGAGGGTGGTACGGCGAGAGGCTGGACAAACGGACGGAAAGAGGAAAAGAAAGAGGGAGCACGAAAGCGTGCCGAGGGGTGGGCGAGGGGAGGAAAAAGTCAATGGGAGAC